CAGATCCATGCATTTGGGGATTATGTTTCCAGCACAAGATTAGGCAGTTGATTTACCAAGGGGGGACACCTAATTCTTTTTCTTCTTTGCAAGCTGCTTCCTTTGATACTCATAAAATGGGAGAAGCACTGACAAGTAATTGTGTGCTTTGACTTCTCAAACTAGTTAGTGGAATTTCAAATATTCTACAGGGAATGCCACATGGAACCTTATAGGATAAACCAAGATCTACCTAACTTCAAAACAAAGTACATTAAGTGTCTCTAAGTGAGCATATCTTGCACAGAAAATAAAAATACCTTAGTCCCTTATGAATCCCAAGAAAGGTATCACATTTAGGGCCTTCCAGAAGATGACTACTTTCTAGACCTTTAAAAATAAAGTACTTAGCACTTACTTTAATATTCTGAAAATATTGCAAGTGGTCAAATGACCAATATCCTCATGTTTTTCAGTAGCATAATTCCATTACAGATGACAGGATCTTTCCCAGCTGTCTTTGCCCTCAGCTGATACCTTATACTAGAAATACCTGACAGTTTTAAACTTTCTTTTGGTAGTGAATACTTTGTTCTGATATTCTTTTCTTTGCCCACTATTATGAGTTGACTTTTAAGGAAAGAATATACATCAATAGTGAGTTCAAAAAGCTCAGTATTCAAATGCATTTTGTTTCTAAAATAGAAGGATTACTGATTTGGGTGCAATATGGAGCTAGTAAGGAAGTGTTTGCTATGCACTGTTTGTTCAGATCTTTCACCCTTGACTTGAAAGTAGTGGTATCTACTCTTATAAAATCCTCATTCTGTGATACATCTTTTCCTTTTAAAATTGCTTTTTCTGCACTTACTGCTTTATAAATGGCCATTTTCAGCTTATAGTTGGGACTAGCTTTTACATCAGGTTTCTCAACTTTCAGCAGTTTTCCCATTTGGGGCAGGGTCATTCTTTAGAGGAGGGGTGCTGTCCTTGTATACTGTAGGCTATCTGGCAGCATCCTTGGCCTCTACCCACTAGATGCCAGCCAGTACCTTCCCAATTGTGACAATCAAAAATGTCTCCAGGCATTGCCAAATGTCAAGTGAAGTGAAACTATCCCTATGCCACTGCTGACAACCTGTTTTACATGATGTCTGTATTTTTTGAAGTGCTTTAGTATTCTGTGATCCCAAGAACAAGAGTTTCATCTCATGACACTAGCTTTAACATTCCAGGCTGAACTCTTAATTCCTAAAGACTATTACCTATGGAAAATCAGGAGCTAGAAGTAGGAATATAGTATATATGATTTTTATTATTTCTCAATATCCTTAATTTTGGGACATTCCCCCTTAAGTAAAGAACAGTTTAAAAAATACTAATCAACACTTGGTTCTTTCATATTTCTGTGTACTGGCAAATGTGATCTCTTCTGTTCACACACTTAATGAGACTAATTCTGTTTTTTAGTTAGGTTTACTCATTGAATTCCCATATCTGCTTTAAAATAAATTTTATCTTTTTTTAAGCAGAAAGCCGTCCCTCAAGGTTAACAGAGTCCAGTAACATGGATCTATTATAATGTATTTGCTTACTATATGATTAAGATTAACAAATAAACATACCTCTTAGAGATTCATATCTTCTATCCAGATTCCTACTGAGCAAAAAGCTTGGTAAACAGAGGTTAAGATCTAAAGAATACAGATAAGAAAGAACCTATATTCTTGAGTACCTACCCTCAACAAGTTTAGGGCTCAACTCCACAAATGAAGATCTATTTTAATACTATCACTAAAAACTACAAATTGTACATTATTTTTTCTCCTCTTCCACATCTCCCCATCACCACCAATTTGTCAGTGATACTGGGAAAGACTTCACAATCTTTAGGTATTCCAAATGATTTGTTTGTACTAGAAAGAGTGACTATGTACTAAAGTGCTTTATCTCTCTTAACCACATCAGTACATTATAAAAATTTTTTTAAAAAGAAGTTTCAAGTTCTTGTGAGGGGAAAAAAAGATTAAATATAAAAAATTTAGGTTACTATTATTATTAAACAAATTTAACCAAGAATCAAGAGAAATACTTTCCCTCTTGTCTTTTTCCTCCCCCATCTCTCTTTGTCATAAAAAAGAAAAGTGCAGTCAAGAGAGAGGTGAACAAACAAATGGGAGCTGGGTGGAGGCACAGGAGAGGTTACCAGCTGCTAGTGATAATGCACAAACATGTGCCTTAAGAGTTCATCAGCTGAAGGTCTCAGTTTGGCCTCTACAAAAATCCGTTTGAGGAAGTCTCGAGTATAGTCTGAGACATGAGGTGGCAGCTTAGGGTTTGTTGGCTGAGTGGCAATCTTAAAGATGGCAGCCATTGCTTCAAATTCGGCCCACGGCGGTTTTTCGGTTAGCATTTCTACTACAGTACATGCTACGCTCCTAAAAAGAAATAAAAAAGAAATGCATTACAAAAGCAAACATTAGGGAAGAAAACTGCTTAGCCAGAAAATGAGAAACAGGAGTGAAGCCCATAAATATTTAAATGTGACTTGATTTCAAGATTCAGGTTTCCTTAAAAGGTTGTAATTAGGGCTGGGGATGTAGCTCCATAGTAGGGCACTTGCCTCGTGTGTGGGAAGCCTTGGGTTCTATCCCCAGTACTGAAGGGATAAGGTAATGACATAAAACTGTAATTTAGATATAAAAATCAGTAGAAATATACCACAATTTAATTATTATCACAACCTATATGTTATACAAAAATATTATTCATTTTATTATTTTGTTCTATGTAGTTTTCCAACCTGACCTTAAAAATAATTTTTGTCTTCATTTTACAAAGTATTAGAAATTGCTTTCAAAAATAAAAAGCCAGGCATGGTGGCGCATCCCTGTAATCCCAGCACTCAGGAGACTAAGGCAGGAGGATCGCTGTTTGAGGCCAGCCTGGGCTACATAGTAAGAGTTCAAGCCCAGCCTGAACTGCAGAGTGAGACCCTGTCTCTAGACAGAGAGAAAGATTGCCCTCAAGAAATTAAAATGAATGTCTCTTAAAATTTTTTCTGGGTAGGAAGTAGGAAACAGCCATTTTATGTTCTAATTTAAAATTATTAAGTAAAGATTACATGAATTTTAAGAACACTCCCAACAAAAATTAATTTTTTAAAAGCTTTTTCAGGGAAATAAGATAGCTACTTAAAGCTGAGATTTGCTGAAGACAAAATCCTTCCTAGGGCCAGGGATTTAGCTCAGTGGTTCCGCTGCCTCCCTTGCAAGCACAAGGTCCCAGGTTCGATCTCCAGTACCAAAAAAAACCAAAAACAAAAACAAAATCCTTCCTAAAGAAGTGAAAATAGATTCAAATATGCTAAATAGTTAATTATAAGCCAAGTAAGGTAAAATTAAAATGGTATTGGTCCTTGTAGTTCATATACTGAATTTCAAAAGTTCAAAAGAGAATTTAAACCAGTAATTTCAATCCTGGATAGAAATATGTGACGTGGCAGGCACCAGGCAAATCTCATACCAAAACTTACCAGATATCTGCTTTTCTACCATAGCCTTCTCCACTGATGACTTCAGGGCTCATCCAGTATGGTGTCCCTGTAACGGACTTCATTCCCGTTCCCGAGAGGCAGATGGTCTGAAGCCGTTTGCTGGCTCCAAAATCTCCTAATTTAACATTGCCTGTTGAATCTCGCAGGATATTTGCACCTATAAATAAGAAAAGAGCCTCATTTCACTTTTCTACTGGCATTCTGGAATATAGTACAAAAGGACAATGACAGAGAACTTTCTGCCAACCCAGGTTGCCTTTCATCTTTCTGATCAGGACCTGGCATACACTAATCAGGCAGTAGATGTTCATTAAGAATATGCTGCATAAAGGGCTGGGGATTTAGCTCAGTGGTTCCGCCTCCTGCCTCACAAGCAGAAGGACCCAAGTTTGATTCCTGGTACCAAAAACAAACAAACAAACAAAGAATATGCTGCATGAGCACTGTATGTTTATTCTGCTATCCTTAAGTGGAAGGCTCTTTCACTGAAAAGGACTGGATGTGAGAGTGGAGGTGAACTAGAGAAGGGGGAAAGGGCTAAGAGTGAAGCCCAGTGAAGCACTGAGGAAGCATGAGTGGGCTTATGGGCCCCATTTCTTTATCATAAAGCAAGAAGATTATTTCCCTGAGAAGTCATGTTTTCCTCAGGAACTTCCTGGGGGACTTACATAATCAAAAACTTTGAGTACTTTTTCCCCTCATTACTTGACCCTGTATTTAAAGTTTTTCTTAACACTGTGTTTTGCTTTATATTAAGTTTATTTCTCAATTTCTATCTATATTTTAAATGTCTTTTAAGTAAGCTTTAAGCTTTTCCTAAGTTTTAAAATTTCATTTACTTTTATGAACTTTAGACAGCTTTAGACTTACAGAACTGTTGCAGTTCTCATATCCCCAAAACTCAGCTTCTCCTATTTTAAGTATCTTACTTTAGCATAGTACATTTGTCATAATTAATGAAGCAACAATGATATACTATTATAGCCCATATTTTGTAACAGTTTTTTCAATTTTTCCCTAATATTGTGTATCTGTCCCAGGATTTCACACTATGTTTAGTCATCATGTCTCTTTAGGCTTCTCCTAGGTATGACAGTTCCTCAGACTTTCCTTCTTTTTTTGATGGCCCTGGCATTTCTGGTAAGCACTGACCAGATTTTTGTAGAATGTCTCTCATTTAGGATTTGTCTCATATTCTTTCATGTTTAGGCTGGGATTATAAGTTTTAGGGGAGGAAGACCAGAGGTAAAGTACCACTGTCATCACATGCCATTACAAGCACATACTGTCAACATCACTACTGATGTCAACGTGGACCCTGATCACTTGGCTTGAGCAGTGTTTGTCAGGTTCTCACTATAAAATCATTGCCTCCCCCTTTCCATGCTGTACTCTTTGGAAAAAATTCACCATGCACACCCTACAATTAAGGAGTAGATGATTATGCTCTTGGGTGAGTACCTATATAAATTATTTGGAATTATTCTGCAGGGGAAAAATGTCCCCTCTCCTCCAATTATTAAATCATTCACTTATATCACTGTGAAGGTATGGGTATATATTTTATACTTCAGGTTATTCTCCAGTACTACTTTATTTTGTACCAGCTTGGTCCCTGGAAGCTCTTTCCATAGACTCTCCTCTTTGCCATACACCCATCATGGTGTTCTTGCTTGTTTTTGTTTTCTCAGTTGTTTTGTACTTTTTGGTAGAACAGTGCCCAGGCTCATTTTGTGTATCTCCTGCTTAAGTCCCAGAATGAGCCATTTCTCCAAGGAATGCAGGTTCCTTTTAGTATAGAATGGTACTGAAAACAAGATTTGTATTCTGGGCTCATTTTTTTTTTTTTGGTACCCGGGATCAAACTCAGGACCTTGCGCTTGTGAGGCAGGCAGTGACACCACTGAGCTAAATCCTTGGCCCTAGGACTTATTTATTTTTTATTCTCTATTTTCCCCCCTATATTTTAAAGTAATTTTTGTTTGTTTGTTGGCAGTACTGGGAATTGAACCCAGTGGCTCCGATACTTCCCCATCCCTTTTTTGTATTTTCAGACACGGTCTCACTAAGTTGCCCAGGTTGGGCTCAAACATGCAATCCTCCTCCCTTGGACTTCCAGAGTGCTAGGATTATAGGCATGTGCCACAACTCCTGGCTCAACTCAATATTTTCTCTAGGACTGTATGTCTAATTTCTGCCTTTAGCAAATTACTTTTCCTCTCATCTTCAGCTTTTTCTATAAACTACCTGTTTTTAAGGAAGCTGTTTATTTTTATTATTTTTTTGTTTACTTATTTTTGATGTAGTCCAGGCTGGCCTTGAACTCATGTAGCCCATGTTAGCCTCTAACTTTTGTCAGTTCTCCAGCCTCAGCCTCCCCAGTGCTGGGATTACAGGTGTGCATTACTATGCCCAGCTATAAATTTTTACATTTTATTTAAGTACTTACTTTTAGGTTTTGTATAACCTTAAACATACTTCATATTTTTTAGTCTTATTCTATTTTTTAAAATTTTTAAATGTCCTCTATGAAGGAAGATGAACAGTGAGAAAAATCTGTATTATATACTGGAGAAAATACAGACTCTCCAACTCTACCTTGAGCTTCTAGTCTCCCCAAATCCCTCAATCTAGCTAATGATGGTTCTCCAAAGTCTGTCTCCAGGGGACAGTGTAGTATCCATTTTCTGCACACCTTAAGCCTAAATATGCTACATTACCAGTAATCCTCTAAAATAGCACTTTTTTTTTTTTAACATTTCCTACCAACAGAGTACTTAAAGAGTACTTAAAGAAGAGCTCTGTTGAAAAAGCTACCATCTCTATTTTACCAGTGGAAGGATGACAAACCAGTTTCTGTTTTTAAGACAAGGCCTTAAAAGGTCTTAAAGTTCCATGCTGACCTCAATCTCCTTGGGTCAAGTGATCCTCCTGTCCCAGTCTCCTGAGTAGCTGGGACTACATGTGTACCTGGCTTAAGCCGATTTTTACTGACTACAAGCAGGGAAGGAAGCATCCTGGGAAGGTCACAGACAGGGACAGCTAACTCTGGGGAGGAATCGTCAATGCTTATCCACAGGAGGGACTAGGGACAAAGTCGGTAGCCAGGTTTTCTGTGTACAGTGTTTTTAACTTGTTTGGGACAAGTCAAAAGTTACTAAGGGGACTTTACAAACATAAACAAAAGCAGAAAGAATCCTATATGGACCCAGCCCCAACATCCACCTGCACAATCCTGCCCAACCATATACTGATAACCACTCTCCTTTCCATTTCACAGGATTTGAAGAAAATCAAGATACATGATCAATTAAAAGTTCAGTACATATCTTTAAAAGACAAGGACTCTTTTCACACATAAAAAGATGAATAATATTTTTTTATTTTTAATGTTATCAAAATATAATAGGTATTCAATATTTTACACACACACGCCCCCCCCCCCAAAAAATCCAAGTTAGGTCACAATGAGCTTCACTGATATATATTTAAGACTTTCCTAACCTAAAAGTCTTTCCAATCTCTTTTTTCCCCTTTGCCCTAAGAAACTAGTTTCTTTATAAAAGCTTTAGCAATAGCTCAACAGCTAAATAGCAACAGCTTTCTTATAGCCTAGATCTTGAGGGGTCATTTTAACATGCTCATCTGGCTTATACACTAAACATGTTATAATTTGACAGCTGAATCTGAAGGTTTGATAAGATCCAGGTTCACTTGTGGAGGTGAAGGGGATTAGATGATGCTATATGTAGACTGTTCCTATGCTTGTCATGTCAGCAGCTGTTAATCTTTTCCCTTACCATTTAAAAGTTGTTTAGAAATATTGGGAAATACTGAAAAAGTAAAAAATATATAGTAGAAAACAACTGTCATTATCTTGCCATTTGGTGATAACAACTGCTAATCATATGAAAACTTCCCTTCTGAGTCATATTTAAATTTTACAAACATGAGATCATATTGCAAACATCTACTTTTGTACCTTTTCCCCCTCATCAATATATCTGCCCTATAATGTTTAAAAATCAGCTTGCTTCCATGCTCCTCAATTGGCCAAGGTGGCTCTCATCATTCCTTCCAGTAAGATGAAAGAGGACTCATGCAGAGGTTACTGTTCTAGCTTATACCCGATGTTCCCCCCAAAGCCTCATGTGCTCATAGGTAGGGATTCTGGGAAGTGGCTGGATGTAAGGTATGTGATACTGGGATCAAGGGTGTGTGATATCTGGATTAGTCCCCTAATTGGATTAGCATAGTTCTGGGTGTGGCTGAACGGATTTATGAAGAGGGAAGCCCCATGCTTGGTGTGGATAGCACCAACAACAGGCTTGTAGCCTGGATGGAATACAAAGGGACAGAAAGAAGGCAGGCTGCTGCTTGCTGCTGCCACCTCCTTCCTGCCTTGCCATAGACTGCTTCTCCTCTGCAATACCCCTCTTCCATGCCACCCTACCTTGGAGACAGACAACTATGGACTAAAACCTCTACAAACTGAGAGCTAAACTAAAAATTTTCTGCTTTAACTTGTGGATGTCAGGTATTTTGTTCCAGCAACGAGAAGGTAACAAACAACTGCTCCCTTAGTTTCTCTGCCTTGAACAACAATTATTCCTAAGTGAATAATTTTTCTGTGAGGGTCTTAAAGTCATCTATCAGGTTTTGTACTTAACAACTAAGTTCTGGCTGAGATAGATCACAGGCCATATCCCAGTACTTATAACTTTTTTTCTGGTGGGGGGGGTGGGGGGGGGTCTGGGAGCGCCCTGGAAATTGGGCTTGCAAATGTTATGCATGTGCTATACCACTATGCTATATCCCCAGCCTTTCATATTCACTATTAAGCCCCATTCTAGTAGATGTGATCTGACTCAAGCACTCTACAGATTCTATCACCAGAAACTAATTAGGAATGTTCTCCTTGGCTTGAATATGGCCACATCCGGATGTACCACACCATAAGGAAAAAACAAAAACCTAGGAACTCAAGAGTTCCCAGCAAGACAAATGAATTATGTATTCATATACACCTTTACATGTGTTAATTTATTTTTATTGACTAATAAAATGATTTCTAAATTTGGGGTCACAATAAGTTTTTATACAATTAGACCTCCAGAAATGCTGTACAGTATAGTTTTAAGTACACTCAGATTTTACATACTCTCACCACTTGCTTTTGTAGCTTATATGCATTCATTCACATATCTAATCCCTGAAAACAGCTGAGTTTTTCAGTTTAAAAAAGAGAGTTTAACTGAATTTACTACCACTCACTCTCAGGTTCTTCTCTTTTCTTAAATAATGACATCCCTTCACATGATTTTAAATATGATCTCAACATCAAGTATGTCATCATTGTAGCTAAATTTGGAGTGATTCCTAGGTACCAAGCACTGTTTTAAGTAACGTACATGCATTAACTCAATCAAGGTTCCTATGTAGAATGAGGAACTGAAGCAGAGAGACTAAGTGACTTTACCAAGCTCACAGAGTCATAATAGATAAAGCCTGAATTGGAAGCAGCCTGTCTTGTAGCCGAGGCCCGACTCTTAACCACTCCCTTCTAATGCTATGCAGTATGTATGAAAATGTAGTCTCACTTATATGGTCTTTTGAATTTTATTCATCTGTGAACCGCCAAAGTGAAGCTACTCATTTGTGGAAACCTGTACGTCAAAACTAGTCTGATGGGACACTGACAAGCATCCATGAGAAAGCAGGAGAACTGTTTTAGAGTAAATGTATGAATTTAAATGTTAAAAATCTTAACCACATCATCTATTTCATTCATAAAGAACTGTGTAAAGTAAGAAGTACCTCATTACTTACCTTTGATATCTCTATGGACAATCATATTACTGTGCAAATAATGGACACCCTCCAGAATCTGACGTGTGTATTTCCTAGTCACATTCTCAGTAAGAGCTCCATATGCTTTTAATTGGTCCTTAATTGAGCCCTGGGATAAAAGAAAACAACTGTAAAAATTATGATATAATTTGAAATGAAAACTGGTATTAAATCTTTATTTTTAAGAGAGTCCTAGTTTATGATTGGAAGGCTGTATTTAGAGAGGGCAGATACTGTCAGTAATGATACAACATACCCATGTAATTTAAAATAAAAGTCATCTATATTCGCTGACTAAAATTGTGGGAAAGTATATGTCACACCTGAGAGAAGCCATTAAAACTCTGCTTTTGGGGGGGGGGGGTTGGATTTTTTTGAGACAGGGTCTTGCTATGTAGCCCAGGCTGGCCTCAAACTCATGGCTATCCTACCTCCTCAGCTTCCCGAGTGCTGGGATTACAGGCATCCACCACCACGCCTGGCTAAAACTCTGTTTTGATCAGTGCCCTTATTTCTGTGACTATATTGGTTCTAACTATCTCCTATTCCTTCCTTGCAACTGTTTTACAAAATTCTCCAGTACTTTTATCTTGCTTTTTTTTGTTTGCCCTGAGCATGTCTTTGTTTTTCCTATAAATCCCTCTAAGTATATCATACCTGAATTTATTTTGTTCTTTCTCTATATTTTAAGCAAATCTGTGATGTACTGACATCTACTGATTTCTCACTCAGTAGAAAGGGTATTTTGAGAAAATCAGAACGCACAAGTTTTGTTTTCACTTTATGTAGCCAATACTCTAGTTAAAAACATGAAAAAATACAATAAAGACAAGTTTCATATTTTCTTAAGTGTATTTTAGGCCAGGAAGAAGTGCCTTTTTCTGAGAATGCTAAGTCAGTCTGACACAAAACACAGGAATTTGTTCTGTCTGGTTTCCACAGTGCAGGCTGGCCTTGAAAGAAGCCTAAACTCTCAGTGATCCTCCTGCGTGCCTCAGCCTCATAAGCTCTGGGATTACAGGTGTGCGTGGCCACGCCTGGCTCAAGACCGGCATCTGAGTTTTGAAAAAGCTTCCTCAGTGATTCCAATGTGCAAGTTTAATTATTACCGCTTTAATGGAAATAAAATGCTTCCTGAGAGACAAATCTATTTTTTAAACAAGAAAATATATCCTAATGTTTCTGCCTTTCCTTGAATTTAGTACTCTGTTGTATAACGTAGATCGCTGGATTTTACAGATTTAACCATTTACTATTTCCAGTAAATGAATTGTAAGTGATGCTTGCAGGGACAGTAATATGTAATTCTGCATCCCCAAACCTGCAAACATACATGAGGAATGTCAATCATTCACACCTATAATTCAATATTGCCCTATTATTCATAATCATCTTACTGTGTCTCCACTTGTAGTAAACTCTGCTAAAACAGCTCTCTATCTGTGGAAGAGGGAGGGACGACAGACAGATACAGACACAGAGACAGAGAGAAAAGCCAACTGCTGGTCTAGGTATCAAAAATGGTACAAAGTTACGGTCCCAAATCTGAAAGTAGTTCTAGATAAAACTAAAGAATATAGTGCTAAATATGGAAAAACTGAAGAATAGGATGAAAATTCTGACAGCTTGACTCTGGGTTACAAAGAAACCTATCACACAAAATGTAATGAGAGAAATTATATTGCACCATTCACAACTTGGAGATTTAGCAAAGAATAAGAACCCAGAAAAGAACATATATGTCCAGCAATGTCGATGGGCTTGCCATATGTTTTATACTGCATTTAGATTATCAGTGAACTATTATTAATTTACTAATATGTTTTTCAAATTCAAGGAACAACTGTATGCTGTGAAGGGAACAGCTGTTCTTACAAAACCAAGTGTAGCGAATGAGAAACATGACCAAATAGCACTTGCTGAATAGTCCTGGTATAGTCTAAAGATTATATGATGAGTGCTGGGGATTTAGCTCAGAGGCACCATGCCTGCCTGGTTCTGAGTTCAATCCTCAATACCACAAATAAAAAAAAAAATTATACGATGAGTGTATAAAGAGTATACACCTCTATCTGTGATGTCAATCAGTTTTAACCATTTAAATTTAATCTTACCTTAAACAACATGGGTTTCTAGTCACATCCATTCATAATTATTTTCCACTATAATTTAAATATTTTTACACAGTAATAAAAATCTGAATTTTATTTTTTAAGAACAGGAAAGGTTTATTGGGGCATAGGAATAGCTCCTGAGAGACAGGAGGGGTCCCAAGTAGGCTACTAGCAGAAATCTGAACTTTAAAAAAAATCTACCATAATCCCAACACATTTCCATCTAAGTTTCTTTTCTCCTTGTTCAAATGCAGATACACTTCCAGGATCATAATCATTATTAAAAAGCATTTTGCATTATTTTCTTCTCATTACAGTATTTCCTCTAATGTTACTGCACAGCTTCATAATTTTTAGCACCTATTCTGAGAGAATGCTCCATAATTTACTTTCATTGTAAGCACTAATATTCCCTTTTGTTTCCCATCACAGATAATACTACAATAAATGTACAGAGTATTCCCTTTCTTTTGGATTACTTCTGCAGAATAAATCTCTGTGAGATGTCACATGGCTTCAATATTTCAATTGCTTTCAATAGGGATTACATTCCCTTAATTTGTTTTTCAAGGACTTTTTAAAACCAACTTACACTGAGAACAGACTCTTTGAAAATATAAACATAGTAGTAAAATTACTGAGTAACAAATGTATCAACATGAACAATTAATTAGTCATGATGATAAGAAAGTTTACTGCTGTTCTAGTAACAGAGAAGTTTATTGATCCATAAGCTCAAAGCGCAACCTTGCACATTCTACATACAATTCCAATCAACTACTGCCTTAAAGACCAATAAATAAAACTTTTTGTAACATACATTACCTATTAAATTTTGAGACTGTGTGCTTTTTGTTTTTCCTTGTTTTGGACATGGGAGTTTTACCATATTGCCCAAGGTGAGCTCAAACTCCTGAGTAGAAACTGAGATTACAGGTGTGTGCCACTGTACCTGGCTGGAAAAGAACTGAATATTCACAGGTGCCTTTGCAATAGCTCAGATTACTTTCTGGTCTACAGGAAAACACAAAATTCTACAATGTAGGAATCAGGATGTCAATCACCTTAATCTAGAAATCAGTGTAAACATCACTACCATGGAATAACTAGAAATTGTGTGTTTTCTGATGGGATGCCACAGAAAGTACAGTCATCTGATGTATCCAATAAAAAAGGCTGAATTAGAATCTACCTTAGATGGTTGAAGGAAATTAATACACAATTTCTCAATGAATAAAATTGTAGCTGTCATATTAAATAGGCAAGTTTACATGCTGGTATTTAGAAAATTAATAAAATATTGAAAATCATGTTGTATTAATCTATTTTAAGTCATACCATGTTCAGAGTTCTGTATAGGGTGTGGTTTTATTTTTTCTTTTTAGGGATAGTTTGTATAGTCACTGTTTCTTATGTTAGTGACTTACACATGCACAAATTGAAACTGTAAATTGTGAACACTGGAAAGCTCCATTGTGAAATAGAACATAAACATCTTAGTAATATATTAAAATGAATGTAAAGGAGGTTAAAATTACATTACTGTGAAATTTATCTTTCAACTCTAGGTTAAACTTTGGAGATTTGTATTAGTGGGTAACTGTTAAGAGCTTTGAAAACACGGCACATTTCTGATCAACCCAAAATTATTATTTCTTTGTAACTTATTCAGTTTGGCAATTGCTTTCATTTAGTGGGTTAATAATGTGGCATAATATATTTACATAGTTTGAAAGTATTCATTTCTATACACTATTTTTAGAAAATATATATATATATATATATTGTTTTTGGTACCGGGGATCAAACTCAGGACCTTTTGCTTGCAAGGCAGGCGCCAGAACCACTGAGCTAAATCCCGGGCCCTCTCTAGACATTATGAAGTTTAAAGACATGACCAATTTTTAATTTATTTCAAGTTATAATATTTTTAATATAACTTGCCTCATTACATGTAATAGTTCCCATTTGATGGGATATATTGGGAAGAATGTGTGTATGTGTATGCATATAAAAAATATATATATATATATATATTCCCACACAAAAAAGGAATCTACCTTAAAGTTTACATCTAACTTGGAGTTTATGGAAAATAAAGTCTTTTTGTTAAAATTATATAATGTAAAAATGGACTGTTATACATAAAAACGGAATTTGGGAACATAACTAAATATAATGTATGGTCCTAGACTGGAACCTGCTTTGGATAAATAAAATAGAAATTTTTAAGACACTTAGAGAAATCTGATGTCTGTAACCTCCTTTAGGATATTCAGCATTAATGAGTTTAAAAATACAAAGACAAATAAAGAGGATTACTGCCTAGCTCTAATTTAAAACTCTTCCAAACTTAATTAGGGTTAACACTTTATAAACAATATTTTTGTTTCCTTTTTTCAACTAAGACTTTTAAATACAATGACTTTTTAAAAAAGGATGTGTGAACTTACCCCTGGCATATATTCCATAAATATGGAAAGTGTTTTTTCCTGGGGATCCCTCAAACAGCCATAATACTGAACAATTCGCTCATGCAGCAAGTTTTTCAACAACTGAATTTCACACTCAAGTGCATTCACTTCCTGGAAGACAAAATTCACTGTGAAGTCTTTATAACACTGTTTTTGCAGAGCAAAAACTAGTAACTTCAGGGACTGTATCAAGGTGATTTCATTCTAAAACATTTAAGGAACAAACTATTTTAAAGTCTCTAACCAATAACTTTTTCTTTTTCCCAGAACTGGGGATTAGACCCTGGCCCTTCACATTGAACTACATTATATCCCAGCCCCTTTTTAAATTTTTTATTTAAAGACAGGATGTTGCTAAGTTGGCTAGGCTGGGCTTGAACTTGTGATTCCCAGAGTGCTGTGATTACAGGCATGCGCCATCACACTCAGCTTTAACCAATAACTTTTTTAATAGTCCCCAGTGGTGTGCTTAAGCCAATACTAAATCAGACTAAGAATACATCTAAAGTACTAAAAAGAAATATACACAGTACAAAGTAGATAAGTACATCTAATGATCAAGTTGTTTTGCAAATCATTTGTGTTACTCTGTGTTTTATTACTTTTTTTGGTGGGGGACAAATGGATCTTAAAATGTGACAAAGTAGACAGTGCAATGATTTTTACCTTGCTGGTCTCAGGGCTATCAGGATCAAACTGGACTTGCTTAACAGCCAATTCTCTTCCTGTATCAACATCATAACAGAGGTAGACCCTGCCAAAGGCTCCTTGGCCAAGCAATTTGCCCAATCTCCAGTTGGTTGGAGCTCGAGGTGCTGAAAAAAGAAGACTTTTTAGAAATGGAATAGTTCAGGCCAGGGATTTAGCTCAGTGGTGCCACTGCCTGCCTCGCAAGCGCAATGTCCTGAGTTCTATCCCCGGTACCAAAAAAAAAAAAAAAAAAGGAATAGTTCAATGGCATATGAATGGTTAAGGACAACAGAAATAAGAAAGCTGCTAGTGATATCCTTAACTGAACAGGGTTGGGTACAAGGAAAAACTGACTCCAAATTCAAAATGGTCACCATCTTTCAAAGTTTTTCTCTTTAGTCAATCTTCTAAATTTCTAAACTCAAGTAAGTTCATATTCATGTGACTTGGACTGGGGATTTAGCTCAGTGGTAAGTGCAAGGTCCTGAGTTGGTTACCCCGTACAAAAAAAGAAAAAAAAAACCAAAACATAATCATGTGACTTATTTTTTCCAGCGAGATCCCCCATTACAACATCTTTCACTCAATATAAGATGCAATGATTGTAAGATGCATTATTTCTAATCTTTCACTTGCATCCTAAAAAGAAAAATGTAAGTCATCTACATACTTATAACCTTTATTGAACCTATTGGAAAACAGACTGGAAGGCACCTAACAATCTAAGGGGGAAGGGAGAGAGAGAGGGAGAGGGGGAGGGAGAGGGGAAGAGAGAGGGAAAGGGGGAAAGAGAAGGGGAGAGAGGAAGAGAGGGAGGGGGAGGGAGAGAGAGGGGGAGAGGGAAAGGGGAGGGGAGAGGGGGAGGGAAGGGGAGAGAGAGAATACAAGCACTGGCAAATTTGTGGAGGAGCACACAGAAAGATCCATACCGGTAGGTAAGAAAAGCTCAGTTCCAAGCACAGACATGTAATCTCAGTACTCAGCAGACTAAGGCAGGGGGATGAAGAGTTCAAGGCCTTCCTGTGCTACACAGAAAAACTCAGCTTCACTTTTAATAAGTATGGACTCTCATAAGAGTATTGAACCTTTGGGATATCAAAGGACAGAGGGATGAGTTCATCCCTACTCAGTCTTTTCCATGGACCTATTTGCCAGGCACTCATAGGAACAGAGGAAAGAAAACTTTCTTGGAAGTCGAAGCCTGGAAAAGGAATCTCCCACTATTGTGAGGAAGGTAGAAAGCCCCTCCCCCAAACCTATATCCCTTAAGAAATTAAGATCCCTAAACTACTAGAGGAAAAGCAGCAAACCCCGTCACTCAGGCTAGGGAATGGACAGGAAAAAACCAACTCTGGACAGAATAGCTGAGAACCCTCCATCCTGCTGCCCCTACACATTGGGTTGGGAAGTGAGGGATGAGGGTGTAGAAAGATCCTCCTTTTCTGAGAAGTAAGCACACGAAGAAGGCCAAATGGAGACAAGGACCACTAAAAATATCCTTCTAGATAACCAACACAAGTAATTTTGGAAAAATATGAAGTTAGTGGTAAACAGGGGTCACTGCAACAACAAAATCCAAACACCGCTGCTCAACTACTGAGAATAACACCATGCCCCACAGTGGTGGCCTAGGCAGAAGAGCTGTGTCTAATTCCAGGCATGAATTCTATTTACCTCAGTCTTCACCATCCTATGCATACTGTCTGGCTTTCAGTCTAAAACTGTAAGATGCAAAAAAGCAAATGTGAAAATGAGAGAGAAATTAACATAACCTGAATCAAGAGAATCAGAAAGGAAGCTTAAAATAACTATGATTAACATATTAAAGTCCTAATGGAAAAGGTAGATAATATGCATGAACAGATGAAGAACTTCAACAGGGACAGGAAAACTGCTGGAAAAGCCTGAAATTTAAAAATAAACATTTTTTCAATAGGGTCACAAATAGGTGCAGCAAAGCTGAGGAAATCAATTAACAGAAATTTCTTAAGCTCACTGAATAAAGAGAGAATGAAAAAAAAGTATAACACAGTATCATATAACCCACTGTGCAAGTAATTAGAATCCCAAAAGAAAAAGTGGAGTGGAAATACTTTAAGAGATGTAACAGAAAATTTCATAAACAAATTATAACAAATCAAACTGAATATGATTATGTATATCAGGAAGAAAATCTTAAAAGTGGCCAAAGGGGGGAAAAGATACTGTCACAGAAGAGCAAAGACAAGAGTTATATATTTCTCCTCAGAAAGTATATACATAAGCCAGAAGACAATGGTAAGACAGCTTTAAACTGCTGCAAGTAAAAAAAATAACAAAAATAGAGCGGGACATGATTGTGCACTGTCTATTCTCCCAGAACTCTAGGAAGTTGAGGCAGCAAGGATTTCAAGTTTGAGACCAGCCTGGGCAACTTGGTGACTTAGTGAGATCCTGCCTCAAAAAAATTAAAAGGGTCAGGGATATAGCTCAGTGAGAAGGTCTTAGGTTCAATATTAGCACCCCAAAACAAAACAAAACAAACTATGCTCAGGATTCTATATCCAGAAAAATTATATCTTTCAGAAACAAGAAATAAAGACCTGCTCAAACATCCAAACAAACAAAAGCTAAAAGAATTCATTACCAGCTGACCTGCATTACAAGAAAGCTTAAATGCAATGTTTCAGGCAAAAGGAATTTGACAGTTGACTGCACCTTGTATCTATATAATCAAAGATCGACAGAAATAGATAATGAAGATTTATGTAAGACATAAAAATTGTCCTCTTATTTTTAATCACTCTTACTTTAATTATCTAAAGCAATAGCAATGTAGTATAAGTATAGTGTAAAAGTAAAATATGACAACACTAACACAAAAAGACTTCAGAGCATGCAAATTTTGATATAATAAATACCTTTGAGCACAAACTTTATATTCATGCTTCACTTGACAAAGTCCAAATAATTTGCAATCTGTTCTCTTCTCATCAAAGTAAAATACCCCCACATCAGCAAAAACTACTTCTAATTTCAGAATATCCATGACTTCTTATACATGTTACCTCCTTAGTGAATTTCTACTCACAATTAAGATCCAGATTAAATGTTATACTATTATTATTTTTCCATATAGCATTCTCCCTGTTAGACTAGTATTTTAGAGGTCATGTTTGAGATCTCAGTGCTAGATATTCAACAAGGATATGTGGAATGGATAGATGAAAACATGACTAGCTATTAACAATTTTCAAATAAAAGCAAAGTATAGATTTAACTAAACTAATTAGGGATACCATTTTTTGTTTGTTGTTTGAGACAGGGTTTCACTATGTAGTTCAGGCTGGCCTTGAACTCACTATGGCCTTGAACTCGAGGCAATCCTCTTGGCTCAGCCTCCCAAGTGCTGGGATTACAGCCATGCACCACCACGCAATACCATTTTTTTTTTTTTTTTTTTTTGGTACCGGGGATCAAACTCGGGTCCTTGCGCTTGCGTAGCAGGTGTTGAAACCACTGAGCTAAATCCCCGGCCCTGCAATACCATTCTTATACCTGACATTCTGACTATCTTTAAAAACATCATTGTTACTACTCCTTTTTCTTTCTTTCTTTTTTTTTTTCTTTGTGGTGCAAATAATTGAGTCCCAGGCCTTGAACATGCAAAACAGGTACTCTACCATTGAGCTACAACCCCAGCCCTGAATTATTATCTCTTTTGAGGAATATGTCTCACCTTGAGGATTCATTTGGTATTTATTCCTGTTAGTATTATAAAACTCTGTAAAGATTCTTTTTTTTGGTACTGGGAATTGAACTCAGGACCTTGCACTTGCCAGGCAGGCGTAGCGCTGCTGAGCTACATCCTTGGCCTTGCAAAGGTTCTTTATACATTTCACTGTAACAATTTCTATTACTTACATCGGCTGGGTGGACTGATATCCATTACAGTTAAAGTAGGATTGTCTATGTCACTTCCCCTTCTTCTTATTCGACTCTCATCATATTCTGGCGTGAATATGCTGCTTCCACTACTAGTGCTTAAGGAGTGATCAGTAGGACTGAAACTCACAGGAGACCTAAAGCTGGTCCCCTGGGTCCTTCTAGCTCTTGGAAAAGTTTTACGACCTACAAAAGTGAAAACAGAATAATTTTACTTTTATGAATATACTGTACTTTTAAAGTATTTAAGGTTTGCAATGCAGGGAACATAAATTTTCCCTGTGACTAGGCTAAGGAATTGAAATGGCAATGATGGCAATGATTCTGGAGAAAAATACTAGGGCCTGAATACAAATTCCAATCCTGTTATGGGAAAAGGTTCAGATGTGCACACACATGAAAACTATGGAATACTAGCCCTTCACTTTTGAATTAAAAGATGAAAATTTTTTATTATCATTTCTAATAATGACTTTAAAATACAAAACAAGAGATGGGCATGGTTGTGCATGTCTGTAATTCCAGCACTCAGGAGGCAGAAGTAGGAGGATCACCATGGGTTCAAGGACAGCCTGGGCTACATAATGAGACCTTGTCTCAAAAAACATACTTACATACATACATACAAACAATCCAATACAAAACAAAAATCAGGAAGTTAGAGGTAGCAAATTTTTTTCCTAACAGGACAATTAACGTTTTGATTTTATTGTCAAGAAGGAATTTTCTAATTAGTGTTATTTGCAAATTACTCCATTTAAAGGAAAGACAATGCTATTAGAGCCGGGCATAGTGGTACATGGCCATAATTCCAGCACTTTGGAGGCTGAGGCAGAAGGACTGGTGTGAGTTCGAGGCCAGCCTGGGCCACATAGTGAGTTCAAGGCCAGCCTGAATTACACAGCAAAACCTTTTCTCAAAAAAATAAAAAGTTATTATAGTTTTTAGCTAAGACTTAATCTCCTCAAAACAAGGTTGTTTAGTCAGGAAACTAAGATTCAAGAAAAAATTTATTTCTCAACAGTATTATAAAAATACCAGATTTTTTTAACACCTTTTTGAGATTTTAAAAAAACTGTTACGGTGGTCTAATTACCAGAAACTTACCATCATTATACTCTTGATGATGATATGAAACATGATACCTTCTTGGATATGTTCCTCCTTTTCCAAATTTCTCAAAGATAGGGTTATCATAGTCTGTTAAGACATATATGAAAGATATGTTACAAAAAGTCAGGTTTTAGTGATGAAAGGCACATTTACACATATTTTGAGTTTTAAAAAAAATCTCTCCCTCTCCCTCCCAGCCAAAATATTACTAAACTTAATTTAAATATTTAGAATTTATATTGTCTAACCTGAAAACTCCTGATGATTATCTGGGTAGCTCTGAGCTCTAGGCATTCGTGATTTTGGATAGCTCTCTCTATAAATAGAAAATGCCACATTAAAAGAACATATGTAAATAAAACATGTAAAAATTGTTAAAGCCATACTACCTGTATCTATCTGCATGCATGCATGCGTATGTATAAAGGAGCTCTGAAATATTAACATAAAAGAAAGAGAAACTTTTTAAACACTTGTTTGGTGCATATAGCTGAAGAGCCTGGCTTTTAAAATTCACCTACAGGGCTGGGGATGTAGCTCACTGATAGAGTGCTTGTCTTCTACAAGCAAGACCCTGGTTCAATCCCCAGTACCACATCAAAAACAAAACAAGCAAAAAATAAATAAATACATAAAATTCACCTACAGAGTAAAGCAGTAAGAATAGTAAGTTCTGGAATCATAGCTGTTTAGAAACACTGTTGTTTCAGTCTGAGTTCTGCGTAACCTGGCCAAATAATCTTTCTGAGACTGCTTTTGCATTTATGAAGGACACAATAATTTCCAACTATGAAGTTTTTAGAAGTCAGGTGTTCAGCAGTGCATCCCAGATACCTAAGTACTCCATACATATTTCTCATTTCCCTGAATTTCTTAAATATCTACCTTGAGGTAGACACTGAAATAGACAGGGTTTATATACACACTGATAAGAAAATAGATGTAAATCCCTAAATAGTATAATTTATCTTTTAAGAATTTGCTTTTTTTTTTGTACCGGGGTTCAAACTTGGGTCCTTGTGCTTGCAAGGCAGGCAGTAGAACCACTGAGCTAAATCCCTGGCCCAAGAATTTGCTTTTATAGGGCTAGGGATGTCGTTCAATGGTAAAGCACATGCCTCACATGCATGAGGCCCCAAGCTTGACCTCAAGCACCAAAAATACAAAAAACAAAAAACAAACGAACAAACAAACAAAACCCTCCAAAACCTGTTTTTATAAAGCAATCACAGAGAGACTGAACACTGGATGACTAACAAGACCAACATCCTGCTGTGACCAAGTGAGTGCGCACTGTAACAAAAAGTTCACAAATGCAGAGATCTTGGTTACCATCCTCAACAGTTATTACACAAGAGAGGTAGTTAATGGAAATTATTTCTAATGTTGTGCCAGAATAAATAGAATACTGAACAAGTGAAACAATTCAAGAAGCATTTAAAACCAAACATATTAATGAAAAATTTGGTTAACAGTTTCATGAGCACAGTTTTAAAAGTAAACATAAATAAATTTTAAGTTTGTATTTGCCTTCAAACATACAATTTTGGCAAACAGAAATACTCCAATATTGTAATCAGGTATCATTTGTCAACAATATAGATAAATATCAATTAACTATATTCTTCTCAATGTAATATAATTACCACAAGAAGTTACTTATAATTCTAAATGCTTTGTGGGTGCATATTTACCCACTCATACTAAATAAAATACAAAACAGCCAGGTGTGGTGGGGCACACCTGTAGTCCCAGCACTCAGGAAGCTGAGGTAGGACGATACACCACAAGTCTGAGGCCAGCCTGAGCTACATAGTGAGTTCAAGGCCAGTCTGAACTACATAGAGAGACTCTGTCTCAAAAAAACAAATGAATAAATAAAACACAAAATTATAATCAACATTACCCATCCAAAGGACTGTCAAGTGAAGGACAACTTCCTGAGCCAGAATTTTCAGGGCTGCTTAAAGATAATGGATCCAGCATCTAGGAAAATAAGAGTTCCAACATGATTCAGTGTGATATAATCAAAAGTTATGTTTTCCTTTTTTTTCTAAAAAACTGCTTTATTAGGATATAATTCATAAAACTCACCCATTTAAAGTGTACAATTTACTGGCTCTCAGTATATTGAGAGTTGAGCAACCCTTAATTTTTGAACACTTTCAGTACCTCTAAAAGAAACCATGTGCCTAACCTTGTCACTCTCTAGTGTTTCTCATCTCTAAATGTCCCACATAGGTAAGCAATGGCTCCGATATTTCCTAAGAGAAAAATAAAGCTTTCTCTATAGTCTATTATTTAATTAAAAACTAGAATATTTCCCATGATTTTACTTACTGAAAACTGAATAATGTCTGCACCCAAATGGGGAACTAATGATACAGTGACTACTCCATTTTTAGCAAATGTTATGCACTGCAATAGTGAGCATTCAATGCAATGTTGAGGGAATAAAGGCAGCTCCAGGAAAACATTTCAATGCCAAAAAACTGAGGTATTTTTAAAAAATGGTATGGAAAGGGCCAGGGATTTAGCTCAGTGGTTTCGCCGCCTGCCTCGCAAGCGAAAGGTCCTGAGTTTGATCACCGGTACCAAAAAAAAAAAAAAAAAGAAAGGTATGCTCAGCTTCATAAAGTTAAACGGGCCAAATTTTACTCTTTTAAGTGTTAATTTAAAAAATTTGAGTGTTAATCGAGAATTACAAAACAAATCCATACATTCATTCATTTATGGATGAACAATATAAGAAACAAGTTCTTTTAAAACATCAATAGATAAAAGGCAGATGTAAATGAATGGACATTTTTCTATATTTTGCTATCCTGTTCATCTAAGAAGGAAGACAGATACACACACACACCCAGGTATCTGCCAAATCACACTGTCCCTGACCAATACCCCTTTAAATGAAATGAAAAGCAGCCTCCAACTTGGGCTTACTTGGTCCATGCTCTCTGGAATGAACTCTCCTTCACTGTTGATGCTAGTGAATGATCCATTCCGGGCAACCTGGTGTAATTCATCTGGAATGTATCCCGGGGGAGGGGAACTTCTATCTCTATTAGTGGGACCTCAAAGGAGAAAAAATGTAAGATTTTGTATATATCAGCAAGGAAATAACTTTTTTGTTTAAATAATGTATATTTCTGAACTACATAAAAATAACTTTAACAAATGAAATCCAGTATTTATTAAGTTACCAGTACATTCGTATTTGTAAAACTTTAAGATTTTTAGGTTTTCTAAACTTCCACCTCAAGGTTTGTCTGACTGCTGATAATTGCATCCTGGGTTTATAACACACTAGAGAATCTTGGATAAATGCCACTGCTCTGAGCTTCCAGAAATAACGCATATGTGTTAGCTTTCAACATAATCTGGGGAAGGCATCATGATGCAGTGGGGCTGGAGTTGGAGTCTGGAGTTGGCCCTTAGTTTAAATCCCTGTTCCAGCTGTTTACCATCTGGGAGTCTGTGGGGAAGTTACCTGATCATCATGAACCTATCTTCCACCTATAAACAAGGGCCTAAACCCCTTCTTTGCAAGGATGTTGTGATGGTAAAATCATTCACAATGAACATATGCCATGCTCATTTGCTTTCTATTCCTTTTCTTTAATCTTTAGAAATCTAAAGTGAAAATACTTCTTCTTAGTCATATAACCCCTATTAGAGCATTTTAAGTTTGGAGTCTTGGATTTTATTTTGGAGTACTTAAAATTAGGCTTTATGGTAAGTCATATTTCTGGAATCTAAATTTTGTCACAGCTTAGAAAAACAGAAAAAAAGGAAAAATTGAAAATCTGCCATTCAATTAAGGTAGTTCATTTCATTAATCATTAATTCTTATAAGACAAAAGGTGATCTTATTTTTGATTGTGTGGAAATGATGCTATATTTATTAACATAACTTCTCCCCCTTCTTGTAATTTTTTGAAATGAGATCATAAAACAGATATGGAAGCTGGTCATGGTGGCACATGCCTGTAATCGCAGCACTCTGGCAGGCTGAGGCAGGATTACAAGTTTGAGCCCAGTGTGGGCAACTTAGTAACTTAGCAAGACCCTGTTTCAAAATAAAAAATACACAAAGGGCTGGGAATGCCATTCAGTGGGAAGGTCCTGCATTCAAATCCCCAGTATCTCAAAAACACAAAAACAAACCAAAAGCACAGATATGGAGCAGTAATGTGAGCATCTGGGTTAAATTTAAACCAAAAAAAAAAAAAAAACAACTTTTAGTTTTAGGTAAAGGGGTCATTGTAAGTACTGTATATGCCAGCACTTGTTAGGGAAATAAGAGAGCAAAATAATTACCAAGAAATGTGCATAAGAGAGAGATCACCGTCTACATTTGTCTACAAAATGAGTAGGGAGGGATCCAACTTTGAGTCAGGGTTGGTTTAGGCTTGTTAGAGAACCATATCATAAGTATTACACTGGTTCCCAATTTTTTTTTTGGTACAGGATATCGAACTCAGGACCTTGCACTTGTGAGGCAGGCGTGGTGCCACTGAGCTAAATCCCCGGCCCCCAAATACTTTTACTTCTTTTATATATCTCATTTAGAAAAGATAATCAATATATTCAACTACTAAAAGGAGATAGGGAAGAAATACGAGGTATGAAAATTTCATCATTTCCTTACTTGAAAACACAACCTTCTTGTGTTAATATGGGCATGCTAACACACTCTTGGTAATTCTAGACAATTTCTAGTTTTTGTTATGCTGGTACTGAAGTAAAATAATAACAATACTTATTAGTATAATAAGACTAAGGTATTTAGTCCAAATTTTTTTAAGAAAAATTTAAAATATCAATGTAACTAGTACATTTCGTTCTAATATGACTAAAGTGAAATGGCTGGGTTTTATTTTAAAATGATAGATACAATAAAGAAGGAAATGAATAACTAACAGTAGTCATGTTTTCCAGTTTGAAGAGTAAAATATGTAAGTGTTCTCTCAATATATTGCTATATTTGAAGATGAGGACAGGACAAATTTACTGTTCTAAGGTTGTTAATCAAAGAACTGAAATTTGAAAACAGTTATCCCAAATGTTCTGTCACCAAATTTTTAAATTATATCCAACTATATCTCAATAAGGACAAGCTATTTTTATTTTACTTATGTATCATCTCTGTTAATCTCATTTCTAGCACTTCTGAAAAGTACAATCTGAGACAAGACACTTACAGAATGGTCATGAATGGTCATAAATAGTTTTTCGGGGGACGAGGAGAAGACAATTTTTTGGTGGTCGAGGCCAATGTAATCCCTTTTTTTTGGTACTGGGGATCAAACTCAGGACCTTGTGCTTGCGAGGCAGGCGGCAGGACCACTGAGCTAAATCCCTGGCCCTGTAATCCCTTTTATTATTAATAATCCTCTTCTCTTACCAATCTTTTGGACTCCCAATCTAAACTCTTCCTTTACCCCACTCTACTTCCTCCCTATCCTTGTTTCTCCTTCTCTTCTACTTTTCTCCTTCAAATTCATCCCTTGTACATGCTCTCATGCTATCTTTAATGACCACACCCTCTCCCCTATTGGTAAAAATATATATGCCATGGTTTTTGAGCAATGGAGTGCTTTTTATTACATGTAGATTGCTAATGTTTTATACAAACTGAAGATGATACACAGAACTGGGGAGTTAAGAACACTTCTACTTTGCCCATGTCTCCCCAGTGAGGCCACCTTACAATACAGTACATGGGATCTTTATTTCTTTGTATCACAGGCTCAATTATAGTAATGCACTATTAATGGTAAATAAAAATTAAGTATTAGGAAAGTAGTAACAAAGCATAATCTGGAAATTTTTAACAATTTTTTATTTTGGTAGTGTTCTCAGGAATAACTAAAACCCTAGAGAAAGAGTTAGGAACCTAGAATTTAGCCTATTAATTTTAATGTACTAGAATTACTTATTTTAATTTTTTCCCTCCATCCTATGTATATAATTAAAACCTCCTCAAAGTTTTATTTAAATTTGTTAAACATTAAAATACCCTGAGTATATAAAGAAAGAATTTAAGTAGGAGACTGGTAATCCTGTAGTACATGAAATTAATTTACAAGGGACATCAGTTTCTAGAAAGTCATTTTAACTTGATAAATAACAGAATAAAAAAAAAGAATATAAAAATAGGGTGTTATTTATCAGGATATGTTTAGGATTTGGCCTACATTTAAAAATAGAAAAGAGAGCCGGGGATTTAGCTCAGTGGTTCCGCCACCTGCCTCACAAACGCAAGGCCCTGAGTTCGATCCCAGGTACCAAAAAATAAAAAGTAAAAAAAATTAAAAATAAAAACAAAAATAAAAATGGAAAAGAAACTCAGAAACCACCCATTTCATGATTCATATACTAGCTTTCTTACCTATTATAGAAAGCCGTTTTTTCCTCTCTCCTCCAAATACTGTGTTATCCAAATCTTCTAGTGATGGCAATGGCTCTAAATTAGTAGCCTACAAAGGAAAAAGGACAACTGATGTTATTATTCTCCTTTGGGGCTTTAAACAGAGTCCTCTCCCCAACCAAATCCAACCTAGCAATTCTGCATTGTTGGTGGGCCATCAATCTTCTACTCTTAGAAAATTAAATCCTGCCAAGAGAGTTGCCTGCTCTTATAATCCCTGCAACTTGGAGGTTGAGGTAGAAAGATCACTTGAGCCCAGGAGTTAAGACACCAGACTGGGCAAGAGGCAACAGTGAGATTCTGTCTTAAAAAAAACAAGCAAACAAACAAAAGACATTTCCATCCTAATGTAATTCTTCCTAAATGGTCAGTTTCATATAAACATATTCTTATTTGTAATTTTGACTATGTGGTTTTAAGGAACAAGGATATTAAAATGTGTAAATTTACACATATATGTTGAAAATACATAAAAGATTATAGAATTTTAACTATTTCTTACAGTGAATTTTAAAGGATACATCCTATAATACTTAATGAAAAAAATGTCAATTCATACCTGTGTACTTCCATTGATTACAAGTAATATCTTTAGGCTCTTCATATGAATACTACGATCCAAGAGTTCCACAGCTCTGTCCAAGTCATCTTGGGTAGTTAATGGAATCACCAACTGAAAAGGACATGTGGGATCAGACAGCCATCTCACAAGCATCTCCACTACTAGGAAGTTACACATCTCAAAACAGTATTCTCTTTGACTTGTTACTATAATCAAAACCTGAATGAGTATATTTGTATTTTGTTCTCCCTGTCCTACCAATGCTGAAATCTTAGAATGAATATGAGTATTTAAAATTTTTGCATAGGACCGGGGATTTAGCTCAGTGGTTCCACCACTTGCCTCACAAGCTCAAGGATCTGAGTTCAATCCCTGGTACCAAAAAAAAAGAAAAGGCTAGGATAAAATTTTTGCTCTATTAAACATTACATTCCTCAAGTAAAATAATCTGTTAGAATATTTCCACCTTAAAGCTAAATTTAATGTATAGCATGTTCATCTCAAAACAGCATTAAGGGGTACACAAACTATATGAAATAAAGATACAACTTTTCATCTGCATAAATAACTTTTTCCCAGTAGTAACCGCTGATTTGCACTCTCACCTTGCATGCTTTTTGACATACCAAATCTTGAGCGTATATGACAGCTACCATGAAGATGTGCCACTAAGCAACAAAGTGCAACCTGTAGTTCACCTGGGGTTCATTTCCCTGACCCTGGTGACCAGACTACTATGCATTACAAGTAAGCTAAATGGGTCAGCCATCCCATGGTAAACCTGAATGTGGGATTCTGCTTTCAGTGGCCCTGTCATGGATGAGATACAGAGAACAAAAGTGCCTGAGAGATCAATGAGAAAAAGTAATGTTTCACACAATTTAAGAAAATCAAAATTATGTTTCTTTTTTTTTTAAGTCAGCTTTAGCCAGGCATGGCAGTATCCACCTGTAATTCCAGTACTAGGAGGCTGAGGGAGAAGGACTGCAAGTTTAAGCCGAGCAGGGGCAACTTAGTCACTTGGCAAGCAAGACCCTGTCTCAAAAAATAAAAAGAGTTTAAGCTCAGTGCAGAGTTCAAGCCCCAGTTACAAACAAACAAACAAACAAACAAAAAGTCAGCTTTGCAGCTTAAGATGACTCTGTTAATGAAAAGAAAATATATTCCATTTCATTAAAAGAGGGACAAAGTACAAACAAGCGAACATATCGCATATCCCACACTTCTTAACCACTTCTTACAATCACAGGATGTGAGCCGTTTAAATGTAAGACCTACTTAGTTTGGGGTCCTCTACACTACAAAATCCCGAGGAAGAGGACCCATGCTCCAGCGGAACACAGCAGGAAGCAGGTACAGTATGTGGTAAATGTTTAAAAAGTATGACAGGAATGAGAGTTCAATCTGCACCCAAATCCACAAGTGGGCACAGTGTGCATTCACTCTGCAGATTTCTTTATTTAAAAAAAAAACAACAAACACTCATTTTAAGAAAGGTTGCTAGGTATAAATATAAACTAGAATGAATATAAATCCCATCATATAGTCTGCTTATATTACTTGCTCTATATTTAAATTTTTACTCTCAATTTTTGTTTGTAGCTAAAAGTTATGAGTCTGATCTAATAGATAAGCATAATTAAATTCCTTTCACTTCACTATGAGTCATATTGGTACACTGTATTCCTATCTCCAGTGTTCTGTTCTTCATAGCCCTGATGTGATACCCCCCATGTTCTCAGGTCATCCGGTATACACAGCAAAATGAAGACAATCACAAAGAAGTCCTAGCTTCTCTAAATTATGCTAAATAATAAATCACAGAACATTTTCCTGCTTGGTAAATTTATTTTGGCTTCATTCATGAAATCTATTTCCCTCTGGGCTATTTTCAGTAAATAAACTGTATGTTAATATAAGTCCTTTCTGGAGAGGAAACTAAAAATTGATATTAAGAATACATTTGATATAACAAATTTTTAAAAAGCACATTATCTTTATGACTTTACATTAGCAATATATGAAAACTGCCCATTTTTGTGTTCTCTTCATCTAAGATAGGAAAGATCTTAGAAAATCCTTCCTTTGCTGGACCACCTCCATACTCATCTCTCACAACACACACAGACACACTGCCTGCACCTTATTAAATATAGAGCAAACCTAAAAACTCAACCAATCCCAGTCTTAACACGTTTCCACCAGCTTGAACCACCAGCAGCACATGCATGACTGCCCCATAGGGGGCTTGTACCAAATGGACCTAATCACTTCTATTAGTCATTTTACTAATAAAATTAATCAAAAGTCTATAAATTGACCAAATCTATTTAGTTGCTTGAATCTGAGTATTTACTGCCCAAATATAAGTATTAATATTATTCATGCCAATTAAAACATTATTACAATAATCACATTTATTTCATTAAATTAAAAGAAACATTTATATTCATGAATTTCTTTAAAGTATTTTTATACATAAAGGCAGTTGATGTGTGTGGAGCATGCAAAACATCATATCACATTTAGCTTTTTTTGCAGCCACCATGGCACTCACTTTTTCAGATAATTTTCAGTAACATTCTCATGCTTCTTGTCAATCCTAAATAAACTTTTAAAGTGCCTGTTTGAGTAATTTGCATCCATGACATTTCTTCACAGGTTTATAATTAATTCTCTAAATTTTAACATGGAAGTCTTATGAATACCCCATTGCTGATGTACATAATATGCATTTACAACTGTTATGCCACAAATTAGCTGTACTACAATTCTTTAATACCTTTTACCATTTAATATTTTTCTTAAGAACTATAATCTGATGACATCTGGTCTGCTAAATCAATGCATTTCTTTCCATTAGTATGATCAAAGACCCCCTGAGAAGCACACAAGCCATCGGGTGGGACAGTCATGTACCACCAGTGGTTCAAGCCAAATGGTCAAATTCAACCGAATTCAAATCGGAGCAGCCCAGCAGCGAGACATACAAATTACAGCCCCATTGTGAACTTTAAAGTTCTTAGTTGTTTTAATTCTGGAAAACTACATCTTCACAGAATAACAGTTCATTTTAAACAAAGAAATTTATTTTCTATTAGAAAATGATACTTATAGATGTGAAATAAACTCTACATGAGTTTTTCGTTTGTTCACAGCCACACAAAACATCACTTGTAAGATAGCACTAGTACCACCAACACTGAAGGTCCTGCATTTGATTTGGAACAGTATGTCAGGACAGAAATCAGGACTGTTTAACAGAATCACAAATTCTCACAAAACTTTAGGGCTACAACAAGTCTTAAATGAAACCTTCCCTAATGACATCTCTACCACATTCCTGCCAAGCGGCCACTCACATATAATGGCAGAACTGCACACAGAAATCCTTCCAAAACCATGAAAAAAATAAAGAAATTTTCAATTTTTACAAATGGAAAAGGATTCCTAAAATTGCAGATCAGTTAACTTGATGTCAATTCCCAAGACAGAAAAAAATTACAAAAATAACTCAGGAGGCTGAGGCAGGAGGACTGACCTAAGTTTGAGGCCAGCCTGGACTGCAGAGTGAGACCCTGTCTCAAAAAGCAAAAAAACACAATAAAACAACAACAAAAAAACTTGGGACAGCTCTGAAGAAAAAAACAGCAATTCTAGGAGATAGTAGAGGTATAACACAAATGTCAAACTAACCTCATTTTTCTTAATAGACCTACTAGGTCAGGAGATCAAAACAATGTTGTATTGTTAATGTTCCTGGCATGTGGAAGTTTTCCATGATAAACAATTTGAGATTTAAAAGAAAAAAGATCATGTCTTGATTCCTTCAGAATCATACTGTAAGATAAGGATTCAAATTATTTCTATAGGAAAGGATACCAGGAGACACTGGTAGGGGGATATGGAAAACAAGGAAGGGAAGGAGCCCCATGTACAGTATATTACCTAGGGCCCAAATGCAAGGTCATGAGTTCAATGCCTGGTACCAAAAAATAAAAAACTAAAAAAATTAAGAGTATATTATCTACTATCAAGCTACCACTCTGGACAAGTGGAATCCATCCTCCTCACCCCCATTCTCCACCTCCATACTCCTATAATATTCATCAGCTCCTGGGCCATATGTCTAGAAAACCCCTCAGAATGTCAGGGGCTGGCAGGTAAAAATGAAACTAGCATAAACAGAAATAAAGTGCCAAGATAAGGTTGAGCAACAAGATATGTCATGACTAACTGAAACCTTAAAAAGTATTTGAACAATAAAATTTCAGCTAGTGTGGTGGCCCACCCTTATAATCCCAGCACTCTGGGAGGCTGAGGCAAGATGAATGTAAGTACTAACGCAGCCTAGGCTTAGTGAGACCCTGTTTCAAAATAAAAATCAAAAAGGGATAGGAATGTAGCTCAATGTAAAGGTCCTGGTTTCAATCCCCAGTACCACCACCACCACCCCCGTCAAAACATTACTGCAGTATAATATTTATCATTTTGTTCAGAGATACTGTTTAGAATATGGATTTTTATTTTATCAAGATAATTTCAACTCTAAGCCGTAAGGGGTTTCTTTAGACAAACACTGCTTGGTATATCACCATTTAATTAAGTTTTAAATTATTTAAAATCTATTTTCAAATGTTTTATTTTGTACAATGCTTTACCATTTGCAAGGCACTTTCACTGTGCTCCTTTGCATTTGGTTTTACTAAGCATCCTGGTGCACTTCATCCCCTCTGGTATCTTTGCTAGGGACCTCTGTATACACTGCTCTCAAGCTGTTGTCTCTCACCAACATTCTTCCCCTGAAACTCTTTGCAAGGCTGCCTTCTCCTATTGTGTATAAATATCACCACCTCAGCTAGCTTTCTTAATACCAGAAATTTCTTTTTTTTTTTTAACCAGAAATTTCTTGATACTTACTGCCTTTGTTTTCATTATCACAAAAATACCTCAAGGATTTCCTTCAAATAACATTATATATTTAAACAACGCATTTATTAGTGTCTGTTTTTACTACAAGTCTACACTGCCTACCCTGTGAGGAGCTGTAACTCATAAGTCACAGCATTAAGCCTGAAAAACTCAATAAATATTTTCTTTTCTTTTTTTGG